CATCAGGAAAACAAAAACACGAGGCTGAGTGTTTACATTCTCCGGCCCCATCTGTTGCCCTCTCCCCTTCCCCCTGGGCATGAAGATCCAAATTTTCGCAGGTAATTTCCCAGTTAGATTCCTGAATTATTTACCCGTCACCCACTTTGTCTGTTACCATTATCAGAGCCAGTAAATGAAAGAAAAGAGATCGGGTCATCAGGTGACTTGGCAGTTTCCTTTCAGTCTTGAGATTCTATTATTCTCATCATTCATTCACTGTCATCATTCACACACTCAACAAATGTTTATCGAGCACCTACCATGTTCCAGTATGTTCCAGGCACTTAGGCACTAGGAATACATTGGTGAATAAAACAAATACAAACCCCTGCCCCACTGAGCTTACATTCTAGTGGAGGGACATGGACACTGCAGATCCACATAAATTAAATAATAGTACTGCTGTGGAAGTAAATAAAGTGTAGTAGGGAATAGGAATTCTGGGAGAATTGGGTGTTTTCATTTAAATATAATTATTTGTAATTTCAACTTTTACTATAGATTAAGGGGCACATGTGCAGGTTTGTTACATGTTACATATTGCATGATGTTGAGGTTTATGGTACAACTGATCTCATTACACAGGTGATGAGCATAGTACCCAATATATGGTTTTTTAGCCCATGCCTGCCTCCCTCCTTCCCTCTCCTGTCTAGTAGTCCCCAGTGTTCCCCATCTTTATGTCTATGGGTATTCAATGTTTAGCTCCCACTTATATGTGAGAATATGTGGCATTTGTTTTTCTGTTTTTGCATTAATTCTCTTAGGATAATGGCCTCAAGCTCCATCCATGTTGCTGCAAAGTATATAATTTTATCCTTTTTGATTATTGCACAGTATTCCATGGTATATATATAACACATTTTCTGTATCCAAGCCACTGTTGAAGGGTACCTACCTATGTTGATTCCATGTCTTTGCTATTATGACTAGCACTGCAATGAACACACAGGTGCATGTTTCTTTTTGATATAATAAATTATTTTCCTTTGGGCATATACCCAGTAGTGGGATTGCTAGGTTGAATGGTAGTTCTGTTTTCTGTTCTTTGAGAAATCTCCAAACTGCTTTCCACAGTGGCTGACCTAGTTTGCATTCCTACCAGCAATGTATAAGTGCTCCCTTTTCTCTGCGAACTGGCCAGCATCTGTTATTTTTTGACTTTTTAATAATAGCCACTCTGACTGATGTGAGACGGTACTTCGTTGTTGTTTGGTTTGCATTTCTCTGATGATTAATGACGTCAATCATTTTTTCATGTTTCCTGGCCACTTGTACATCTTTTGAGAAGTGTCTGTTCATTTCATTTGCCTACTTTTTAATTAGTTAGTTTGTTTTGTGCTTGTTGATTTAAATTCCTTGTAGACGCTGGATATTAGACTTTTGTCAGACGTATAGTTTGTGAATATTTTCTCCCATTCTGTAGGCTGTTTACTTTGTTGGTAATTTCTTTTGCCTTGGAGAAGTTCTTTAGTTTAATTAGGTCCTTTTTGTTTTTGTTGTAATTGCTCCTAGAGACATAGCCTTAAATTCTTTGCCAAAGCCCATGTTGAGAAGGGAAATTCCTAGGTTATCTTCTAGGATTTTTATAGTTTAAGGTTTTATATTTAAGTCTTTAATCTATCTTGAGTTAATTTTTGTACATGTTGAGAGGTAGGAGTTCCAGTTTCATTATTCTGCATATGGCTAGCTAGTCATCCCAATATCATTCATTGAATAGGTAGTCCTTTCTCCATTGCTTATTTTGGTCAGTTTTCTCAAAGATCTAATGGTTACAGGTATGTGACTTTATTTCCATGCTCTTTATTCTGTTCTATTTTTCTATGTGTCTGTTTTTGTACCAGTACCATGCTGGCTTGGCTTCTTAGCCTTAGAGTATAGTTTAAAATCTGGTCATATGATGCTTTTGGCTTGTTCTTTTTGTTTAGGATTGCTTTGACTATTTGGATTCTTTTTTGGTTCCATATGAATTTCAGAGTAGATTTTTCTAATTCTGTGAAAAATGACATTGGTATTTTGATAGGGATAGGAATGAATCTGTAAATTGCTTTGGGCAGTATGACCATTTTAACAATAGTGATTTTTCAAATCAGTGAGCATAGGATATTTTTCCATAGATTTGTGTCATCTCTGATTTATTTCAGCAGTGTTTTGTCATTCTCCTTGTAGAGATCTTTCACATCCTTGGTTACATACATTCCTAGATGCTTCATTTTTTGTGGCTATTGTATATGGGATTGTGTTCTTGACTTTGTTCTCAGTTAGAATGTCACTGATATATAGAAATGCTACTAATTTTTATACAATTATTTCACATCCTGAAACTTTACTGAATATGTTTACAGTTCCAGGAGCCTTTTGGGAGAATCTTTAGGGTTTTCTATGTATAGAAATATATCATCAGCAAAGAGAGATAGTTTGACTTTTTATTTTCCTATTTGGATGACTTTATTTCTTTCTCTGACTGATTGCTCTGGCTAGGCCTCCCTCTACTATGTTGAATAGGAGTGGTGGGAGTAGGCATCCTTGTCTTGTTCCAGTTCTCCTGGGAAATGGTACCAGCTTTTGCCTGTTCAGTATAATGTTGGTTGTGGATTTGTCATAGATGGCGCTTCTTATTTTGAAGTGTGTTCCTTTGCTGCCTAGTCTGTTGAGGATTTTTATCATGATGAAATGTTGGATTTTATTGAAATATTTTTCTGCATCTCTGAGATAATAATATGATTTTTGTTTTTGATTCTGCTTGTGTGGTGAATCACATTTATTGATTTGTGTGTGTTGAATTAACCTTGCATCCCAGGAATAAAGCCTACTTGATCATGGTGAATTAACTTTTTGATGTGCTACCGGATTTGGTATGCTAGTATTTTGCTGAGGATTTTTGTGTTTATCTTCATCATGGATATTGGCCTAAAGTTTTCTTTTTTTTGTTGTGTCTCTGACCGATTTTGATATCAGGATGATGCTGACTTCATAGAATGAGTTAGGGAGAAGCCCTCTTTCCTAAATGTTTTGAAATAGTTTCAGTAGGATTCATATCAATTCTTTGTATGACTGGTAGAATGTGGTTGTGAATCTGTATTAGTCTGTTCTCATGCTTCTATAAAGAAATACCTGAGATTGGGTAATTAATACAGCAAAAGGGTTTAATTGCAGTTCCACATGGCTGGGGAGGCCTCAGGAAGGTTACAATCACGGCAGAAGGGAGAGCAACAGATCCTTCTTCACATGGTGACGAGAGAGAGAAGAATGGGTAAAGGGGGGAAAGCCCCTTATACAATCATCAGATCTCATGAGAACTCTCTCTCTATCATGAGAACAGCATAGGGGGACCGTCACAATAATCTAATCACCTCCTATGAGGCCCGTCCCCCAACACCTGGGGATTACAATTCAGATTACAATTCAAGATGAGATTTGGGTGGGCACACAGAGCCACATCATGTCAGAATTAATCTATTCTTGGGCTCTTTTAGGTTGGTAGGTTTTTTTTTTTTTTTCACTTTGGAATATTTATTATATTCCTTAATGCGTTTCTTAGCAAGTATAGCACTCTTTAATCAAGAATATAAAGTCATCTACTTAGAATCACAATATCTTAAAGACGCATACTGGAATGATAAGCAAGTTTGAAGATGTAACTATCAACAATTCTTTTCAAAGTCATATCAATATATTACTCTCATGAAACTTGCATATTCTAAGAAAGGTCGTTTTTTTTCCCCCAGTACTGGGAAGGTATGCATTTAACCATGTGGCCAGCCAGAAAGGCTATTTTATATATGGTGTGTGTTACTTATTAAAAGCCTGTCCTTTCTCTAATATTGTATATTACACAATTGTAGCTACACCTGAAGAGAAGTGAGTTTCAATGACCACTATCACCTAAAAACATGAATAAGTTCCTATATTTAGGACCAGAGGAATGATATATTGTACTGTACGATGCCTGCCTCTGTCCAGAGGCCAGCTATCTCACCTGTTCTTCAGGGTGCCTAGACTTCTTACCCATCTATTATCAGGGATGCTTCTGAAGTCATTCCCATGGGCCCCTGTCTAGTATTGAGAATACCTCTAAGGAAGTTTCTTTCAAATCTGATCTACCCACCATGTTTATTCCCTGACACTAAAAGTTCACTGACTTCAAATCCTAGACTTGTCCATCATTATTTTCCCTAGTTGGACAAGGCTGAATTAAAGACACTTTGTTAAAGGAAGTAGCCTTGGCAGAAGAAAAATCGTTGTTCTGTAGAAGTGTCATTCAATATTTAAAATCTTTTCTGAACCAAAACGAGAGCCTGAAAGTAAAGCACCTTTTATGTTTTAACTCTGCTGTCATTGCTACTAAGGATTCATGGTAAATTATCCTGCAGCCCTTCTTGGCTTGAGAGGAGGTACAGCACAAGTAGCCCACAGGGTCTCAATAACAGAAATATTCTCAAGGACCCTTGAGAATACAAAGGAATACTGGGCTGTTTTAAAATGAGACAACAGAAGAATCAGTTTCTTCTGTTCCTATTCCTATAATATGCCTTAGTCTTTGAAAAGCACAGATAGATAGTTGGTTTGAACTAATTATTTCTCCCTGCTCTCCCCCACAAGAGACATTCCTGCTTGCCTTCTTGGGCATCTGTTTAAAAGCAGTATGGGAAGAAGGGGGATGCTCTAGGGGGACAAGATGTAATCATAAAATCTGAAGCCCCAAAAGAAAAGTCAGAGGAGGTTGAAAAAAAAAAAAAAACATGAAAGCAACTCTCCTAACCAGAAAATCAAATATGTTATCTTTCTTTCAGGATTAATAATTAATAGTTAAGAGGAAAGCCACATCAATTTATAGGGCCCTTCTTTGGGAAAGGTTCATATAATTTAGCATACATACCATATTCAGTGAAAATGCATTCAATATAATTACCTATTATAAAGACATCCTTCTCGGTACTTAACAAATGAGATAATTATAAATGCTCCTTTTGCTTTTTATTAAAATGTCACAGCATGCCTAGAGAACAGTTTATATGGATGCATAAAGTCTGAAACCCTAGAAGAAAACTAATCAAAAACCACCTGTTAAATACACAATTATGATTACTGGTGGCCTTTCAATTAAATCCTATGTGTTTAAAATGAAAAACACGCAGCCTGGTACAAATATTCATGTTTCAATTTGCGATCTGCTGCATTGGCATGAGTTTTGGTGAAACTGCAAAATCACACCCGGTACTCTTCTGTGTGTCATCCACTGTCAGACCTTCCCAGAGCTCAATCAGAGTCAGCCCTTTTTTCTTGTCCACATCAAACACAGCCTTTTCAGTAATAATGCGGTTGACACATTGCTTTCCAGTCAATGGTAATGTACAGTTCTCCATGATTTTATGTGCATTTCCCTTTGCAGAATGCTCCATGGTGACCACCACTTTGGTTTTGGCACTGGACACTACATCCATAGCACCTCCCATTCCTTTCACCATCTTCCCAGGTATCATCCAGTTAGCCATATTTGGAAACCTGCATCGCTCCTAGCATTGTCAGATCGACATGTCCCCCTCTAATCATTGCAAATGATTCATCGCTGGAGAAAAAGGAGGCTCCTGGAAGAATAGTAACTGTTTCCTTGCCTGTATTGATGAGATCTGCATCAGCTTCATGTTGTCGTGGGTGTGGACCCAAACCCAGGACTCCATTTTCACTTTGAAGATGAACAGTCATATTTGGGCTGATAAAGTTGCTGGCCAGGAGAGGGATTCCTATGCCCAAATTAACATACATGCCATCCTCAAACTCAAGAGCAGCCCTCTTGATGATTCGTTCCCTTACGTCATCTCCAGGTTTAGCAGATTTGGCTTCCTCATCTCCCTCTTTCTGGATTGATAAAGGCTCAATTCTTTTCTCATATTTTTCTCCCTTTATAAGGCGATGTACATAAATCTGAGGAATATGGATGTCTTCTGGAGCAAATGCTCCAATATCCACAATTTCTTCAACCTCTACCACTGTGGTTTCTTCACCTTTGCACATTGGCAAGTTGAAATTCCTTGCACTTTTCCTGAAAATCGCGTTTCCTGCTCGGTCCGCCTTCCAGGTTTTCACCAAAGCAAAATCCCCCGTAATTGCTTCCTCCAAAATAAAGTGCTGACCATTGAACTCCCTCGCCTCTCTTGGCTTACTGGTAATGGCAACACTGCCATCTTTGTTGTATTTGATGGGCGATGCTCCTCGAAAAGCCGGGAGGACGTCATAGCCGCGCTGTGGAGGCTCCAGCCCGCCCCTCTTTTCTTCGCAGTGAATCGGCTGCGCCCGGGACAGCGCGCACCGACGCTCAAACGCGCGCTCCACCCGGTAGCCTCCTCCTGCCTCAGGCCCGAAGATGGCGGCTCTCAAACTCCTCTCCTCTGGCCTTCGGCTCTGCGCCTCTGCCCGCGGATCTAGGGGAGCCTGGTACAAGGGATGTGTTTGTTCCTTTTCCACCAGTGCTCATCGCCATACCAAGTTTTATACAGATCCAGTAGAAGCTGTAAAAGACATTCCTGATGATGCAACGGTTTTGGTTGGTGGTTTTGGGCTATGTGGAATTCCAGAGAATCTTATAGGTGCTTTACTGAAAACTGGAGTAAAAGGACTGACTGCAGTCAGCAACAACGCAGGGGTTGACAATTTTGGTTTGGGGCTTTTGCTTCGGTCCAAGCAGATAAAACGCATGATCTCTTCATATGTGGGAGAAAATGCAGAATTTGAACGACAGTACTTATCTGGTGAATTAGAAGTGGAGCTGACGCCACAGGGCACACTTGCAGAGAGGATCCGTGCGGGCGGGGCTGGAGTTCCTGCATTTTACACCCCCACAGGGTATGGGACCTTGGTACAAGAAGGTGGGTAGGTTTTTAAAATTGCTGATTCAGTTTTGGAACATGTTATTTGTCTGTTCAGGTTTTTACTTTCTTCCTGGTTAAATCTTTGGAGGTTGTGTGTTTCCAGAAATGTATCTATTTCTTCTAGATTTTCTAATTTGTGTACATAGAGGTGTTCATGGTAGTCTCTGAGGATGTTTTGTATGTCTGTGGGATCATTTGTAATGTCATCTTTGTTATTTCTGATTGAGCTTATTTGGATCCTTTTTCTTTTCTTTGTTAATGTAGCTAGTGATCTATCAGTCTTGTTTATTCCTTTGAAGAAACAATTATTGGTTTCATTAATCTTTTGTATGGACTTTTTGGTCTCTATTTCATTCAGTTCTCTGATTTTAGTTATTTCTTTTCTTCTGCTATCTTTGGGGTTGGATCATTCTTTTTTTTTCCCTATATCTTTAAGGTACAATGTTATATCATTAATTTGAGCTCTTTCCAACCTCTTCATGAAGGCATTTAGCACTATAAACTTTCCTCTTAACACTGTTTTAGCTGCATTCCAAAGATTTTGGTGAGTTGTATCTCTATTTTCATTGATTTCAAGGAACTTTTTAATTTCTGCCCTAATTTTGTTGTTCACCCAATAGTTATTTAGAAGCAAATTGTTTGTTTTCCATGTTCTTATATAGTTTTGAGAGATATTATTGGTATTTTTTTTTTTGCACTGTGGTCCAAGAGTGTGCTTAGTATGTCTTAATTTTTTTTGAATTTATTGCGACTTGCCTTATGACCAAACATATGGTCAATCTTAGAATATGTTCCATGTGTAGATGAAAATAATATATTTTCTATGGTTGTTGGATGGAATATTCTGTAGATGCCTATTAGGCCCAATTGGGCAAGTGTCAAGTTTAAGTTCAGAATATCTTTGTTAGTTTTCTGCCTCAATGATCTGTTTGGCACTGTCAGTTGGGTGATGAAGTCCCCTATGTTATTTTGTGGCTGTCTGAATCTTTTTGTAGGTCAAAAACTTGTTATTATAAATCTTGGTGCTCCAGTGTCAGGTGCATATATATTAGGATAGTAAAGTTTTCTTGTTGAAATAAACCCTTTATCATTATGTAATGCCCTTCTTTGTTTTTCTTGGTTGTTGTTGGCTTAAACTCTGTTTATCTGATATTAGAATCGTGACTCTTGCTTTTTTGTTGTTGTTTATTTGCATGTTAGATCTTTCTCCGTTCCTTTATTTCTAGCCCGTGGGTGTCATTACGTGTGAGATGTGTCTCTTGAAGATAGCAGACAGTTGGCTCTTGTCTTTTTATACAGCTTGCCACTCTATGCCTTTTAAGATGGATGTTTAGATAATTTACATTCAGAGTTAGTGTTAATATACAAAATTTTGATTCTGTTGTCATATTGCTGGCTGTTTGTTTTGTAGACTTGCTTGTAAAATTGCTTCATATTGCCTGTGAGTGATGCGTTTGAGTGTGGTTTTTTTTTTTTTTTTTTTTTTGTGGTAGCAGGTTTCAATCTTTTGTGTCCATGTTTACCATTCCTTTTAGGGCCTTTTGTATGGCTGATCTGGTGGTAACAAATTCCCTTAGTGCTTGCTTGTTTGAGAAGGATTTTATGTCTCCTTTGCTCAAGAAACTTAGCTTAGTGGGATGTGAGATTCTTGGTTGGAATTTCTTTTTTCTAAGAATGCTTAAACATGCCCCCAATCTCTCCTAGTTTGTAAGGTTTCTGTTGAGAGGTCTGCTGCTTGCCTGATGAGGTTCCCTTTTTAGTTGACCCGACCTTTTCCTCTAGCTGCCTTCCATATTTTTTCTTTTGTATTCACTGTGGTGAATTTAATAATTATATTCCTTGGGAGTGGTTGGCTTGTATAATATTTTGCAGCAGTTCTCTGTATTTCTTGAATTTGTATGCCCTTCTCTCTAGCTAGATTAGGGAAATTTTCATGCACTATATTCTCAGATGTGTTTTCCAAGTTACTCTCTCTCTTTTTCTTTCAGAAATATTCATGAGTCATAGATTTGGTCTCATTACACAATCTTATATTTCTCAGAGGTTTTGTTCATTTTTTAAAATTATTTTTTCTTTGTTTTTGTTGGATCGAGTTGCTTCAAAGAACCAATCTTTAAGCTCTGAGATTTTTCCCTCAGCTTGGTTGATTCTGCTGTTTATGCTTCTGATTATGTTATAAAAGTTTTGAAGTAAATTCTTCAGTTCTAGAAGTTTATTCTGGTTTTTTCTTAAAATTATTATTTCATTTTTCAGCTCCCAGGTTGTTTAACTGCTTTCCTTTTATTCCTTGGATTGGGTTTCAACTTTCTCCTTGATCTTGATGAACTTCCTTGCCACCCATATTCTGAATTCTGTTGCTGTCATTTCAGTTATCTCAATCTGGTTAAGAACCATTTCTGGGGTACTAGTGTGTTCATTTGTAGGTAAGGGCACACAGTGGCATTTTGAGTTGCCAGAGCTCTTGCACTGATTCTTTCTCATGTGCAAGTGCTAGTGTTTCTTTAACTGTTATGTAAGTTGAGTACAGTCAGTTGGCTTTGTTTCTGGAGGCTTTCAGAAGGCCAAGACTCTGTGCAGATCTTTTTTTTGTAGTTGATTTTTTCCTTTAGCTTTATTTTTTATTTTTATTATTATTATACTTTTAAGTTCTAGGGTACATGTGCACAACGTGCAGGTTTGTTGCATATGTATACATGTGCCATGTTGGTGTGCTGCACCCCTTAACTCGTCATTTACATTAGGTATATCTCCTAATGCTATCCCTCCCTCCTTCCCCCACTCCACAACAGGCCCCACTGTGTGATGTTCCCCTTCCTGTGTCCAAGTGTTCTCATTGTTCAGTTCCCACCTATGAGTGAGAACATGCGGTGTTTGGTTTTCTGTTCTTGTGATAGTTTGCTGAGAATGATGGTTTCCAGCTTCATCCATATCCCTACAAAGGACATGAACTCATCCTTTTTATGGCTGCATAGTATTCCATGGTGTATATGTGCCATATTTTCTTAATCCAGTCTATTATTGATGGACATTTGGGTTGGTTCCAAATCTTTGCTATTGTGAATAGTGCTGCAATAAACATATGTGTGCATGTGTCTTGATAATAGCATGATTTATAATCCTTTGGGTTTATACCCAGTAATGGGATGGCTGGGTCAAATGATATTTCTAGTTCTAGATCCTTGAGGAATTGCCACACTGTCTTCCACAATGGTTGAACTAGTTTACAGTCCCACCAACAGTGTAAACGTGTTCCTATTTCTCCACATCCTTTCCAACACCTGTTGTTTCCTGACTTTTTAATGATTGCCATTCTAACTGGTGTGAGATGGTATCTCATGGTGGTTTTGATTTGCATTTCTCTGATGGCCAGTGATGACGAGCATTTTTTCATGTGTCTGTTCGCTGCATGAATGTCTTCTTTTGAGAAGTGTCTGTTCATATCCTTTGCCCACTTTTTGATGTGGTTGTTTTTTTCTTGTAAATTTGTTTGAGTTCTTTGTAGATTCTGGATATTAGCCCTTTGTCAGATGAGTAGATTGCAAAAATTTTCTCGCATTCTGTAGGTTGCATGTTCACTCTGGTGGTAGTTTCTTTTGGTGTGCAGAAGCTCTTTAGTTTAATTAGATCTCATTTGTCAATTTTGACTTTTGTTGCCATTGCTTTTGGTGTTTTATGCATGAAGTCCTTGCCCATGCCTATGTCCTGAATGGTATTGCCTAGGTGTTCTTCTAGGGTTTTTATGGTTTTAGGTCTAACATTTAAGTCTTTAATCCATCTTGAATTAATTTTTATATAAGGTGTAAGGAAGGGATCCACTTTCAGCTTTCTACATATGGCTAGTGAGTTTTCCCAGCACCATTTATTAAATAGGGAATCCTTTCCCCATTTCTTGTTTTTGTCATGTTTGTCAAAGATCAGATGGTTGTAGATGTGTGGTATTATTTCTGAGGACTCTGTTCTGTTCCATTGGTCTATATCTCATTTTTGGTACCAGTACCATGCTGTTATGGTTACTGTAGCCTTGTAGTATAGTTTGAAGTAAGGTAGCATGATGCCTTCAGCTTTGTTCTTTTGACTTAGGATTGACTTGGCAATGCAGGCTCTTTTTTGCTTCCATATGAACTTTAAAGTAGTTTTTTCCAATTCTTGATGAAAGTCATTGGTAGCTTGATGGGGATGGCATTGAATCTATAAATTACCTTGGACAGTATGGTCATTTTCACGATATTGATTCTTCCTATCCATGAGCATGGAATCTTCTTCCATTTGTTTGTGTCCTCTTTTATTTCATTGAGTAGTGGTTTATAGTTCTCCTTGAAGAGGTCCTTCACATCCCTT